AAAAATTATACACCTGCAAAATCAGAACAATGGGCAAGTCGAAGGGTAGTTAGGTGGTTTGCCCTCTTGAAATCTATCTCAGCAGGACAGGATGCAAACAGCAGGGTGGGGACCAGAAGGGGTGTCCTGGATAGCTTTTTGTGTTTTGTCTTTTTTGGAGCACGCGCACGTGTGTGTGTGTGTGTGTGTGTGTGTGTGTGTTAGTTTTCTCTGTTTCTACTTGATTCATGTGCTCACTGGAAAAAAAATGTACAAAAGTTCTGGACATTTGCTAAAACTCCAAGCTGGTAGCATTTTCATTTTATATATAATAGAATCCTGTTACCAAAAAGAAGTGGTGGTCAGAGGAGAGTAAAATGTCTGTGTTAAACAAGAGATATACTCTACTTCATTTGCACACAAGGGTCTGATTTGACCTCTAGTGCACTGAATTTATGGTGAAAGGAGGGCTTTTAAATTGGGTTTGTTTTATTTTGATCCTCTGTCTGGATATTTCTTTCATACCTCCCAGGCAGTAGCTCTCATGGGTAAGCTTATATTTTTGTTAATAAAAAAATGCAATTGGTGCTAATCTAGACTTCCATCATGGTCGTTCAAGCTTTCCAATGTTAATAACCACTCCCAAAGAAAGGATCATCAAAAGAGTTCAGACTACCCGGTTTTGCGGTCAAGGCTGTGAGCCATATTCAGAAATGTCTGCTTTCCATTCCCTGGCCCACTGCTGGATAACTATGTGACATTTATATGTTAATTGTTTTCTTTCAGTCTTGATTTCTTTCGCTGTAAAAGGCTACTCTTTATTTACTTGTTTAACATGGGTCTAGGGATGGCAAGGATTTATGGAGTGAACTAGTTAAGATATTGGGCTTTTGATCTGACTGACCTGGGAAAGATATCTCTTCAGTACTCACTAGTTCTGTGACTTAGGATAAGTTACCAACTATGCAACTCATTTTATATACATAAATATGTGTGTGTGTGTGTGTGTGTGTGTGTGTGTGTAAGTAGTTATTGGGAAGATTAACTGAGATAATGTAGGTAAAATATGTTTTACCTACACTCAATAAATGTACAGATTTTATAAATAATAATAATAGCTCAATGTTCTTTAGGCCTCCACACAAATAATTAACTGAAGAGGAAGCATTATCATACAATAATTATTCATAAATAATGGCAGCAACATTTATATACAGATCTTTATGAGCTCTACATAGCAATGAATTTCAATGCCAGAACACAAGCACCATACTTCACCTTTCATTTCAAACTATATGACTTTTTCATATAGTGGCATAATGTAGTACAGACGCTTGAAACACCTCCAATTTTAATTCTCCTCTTCCCCCACTGCCTCCTGCTTTGCACTCTCTAATGAAAAATAAAGGTGAAGGGCAATCTGTTTGAGGCTAAACTAAAGCCTACTAGACAGACCAGGCCAGGTGATGGTGCAGGGCTTAGAGTGATGTGAACAGGAAGGGAGACGGGGAGAAACTTATGAAACACACAGAAGGTGTCTGCACTTCTGTATTAAAAATACTCGTGGCGGGGAACTCAGCACCAAAAATAGGGGAAAAAATATTTTCAATCGCTTTTCATGTGCTTCCTTTCACCCTTCAAATGGTAGGTATTTTTCCCTAAATGGGTGGAAGTGCTTAGTACAGTAAATACAAAAGCTCTCTTGTTCAAACTCATTTTAAAAATAAATGTAGAAGAGACCTCCTTTATAATCACAAAAGACACGGAAGCCAGGGGTTTTTGGGTAATCGCACACATCAAGGGGCATTAAAGGGACAAGGCCTTCAGTACTACCTAATGACATTCACCCTGGAGTGTCATTGCTTAATTACGGCTTTTCAAATATTTGGGCAATAAAGGAATCAGAATTTATTACAAACTCATATTGATGTACAGCCAAACAATATAGTTGTTTATTATCTATTAATGAGGTTGAGACTTATGCCTTTAAAGGGATCACAAATAAATTCTTGGGTGTATTTGGCCTTTTAAATATTTTGAATATATGAATTCATCAGGATTTAGGGATTAGGTAACTGCTGTCTACACAAAAAATCTGCAAAATTTTTCATTACTTTTTTATTAGTTGGCAGCACATACTCTAGCTGTGAACTTTTATGAAGCTATAAACATAAAGGACCTTCTGATACGGGTATGATGATAATTCTAAATTTCCTCTTTGCAGCTGGGGTTGATCCCCTCTATTTGGTACAGTCTATTTTTTTGTGTGACTTAACAGAAGAACATTGGCTCACTACTGTATTGCCTTCAAGCACTTTCTCGGGAAGTTCTTGAATTAAATCCACATGGAAACCCAATGCCTCTCTCCACCTTTCCCTTAAGGTGGTTATAAAATGTCAGTAGAAAGCAAAGCTGTTTATTTTACTTAGGGTTGGATTCTGTTAGTAAATGAGTTTCTGGTGGGGCTTATGTGCAAACCACATCTTTCAATCAGATTCTTTACATGACTAAATGTGTATTAAATTGTGCCATAAATATTAATTTAAAATTCAGAAGTTCAGATTCCACATAAATCCATGCGAATAAGCAGAGATATGTGCTGTTTAACAAGTTCTAGATTCACATTCTAGCTCCACTAGCAAAACATTGCCTCACTTTCGTAGGTAGCAGGCAAAAAAGACATAGTGCTGTCTTCCTAACAGGCAGACTTCACACCAGCAGAGATCTATGACCTGCCTTTAACAGGGCAGCTTGGAGATCTCTGTAAAGAGAAGCAGGCAATCCTGGCAGGGTAGTTCTACTCCTGGAATCCAGGAGGTGCTATGTGCTGAGGCAGAATCTGGCTGCTGAGCCACGTCTTCTGGAGTTGGGACAATTTTCAAATATGATAGAACAAGGCAGTGACCTGGGCGGTGCCAGAGCACGAGGACAATGGGAGGTAGATTAATCTGAGATAATATGGTTTCTCTGGGCTGGGCATTAAGTGTTATCTTTTATGAAACCGTGTTATATTTCTAGGATCTGGTGGGCAAGAGGCCCTTCCTGGACCCTCCAGGCATACCATCCAATGATTTCCAGCTATATCCTTTGAAGAACATTGCACGACATGCCATAGGTGGAAAAGCAATAGCTCATGTGTAGGTAAAGCATGAAGACAACGACTTCTGTTGCATTTGCCTTTTCATATGACTTGATTTAACTCTGGCAATATCTTATTGATACCCACAGGAGGCAGAGAAATACTGGGTAGAATAGGGAGGGGCCCCTGGCAGGGGCTCCACCCTTAGGCCTGGACCCACTGCCTGAAATTAAAACATGCATTTCTGTTTTCCCACCTGAATGTTGCCTTTTCCAAAACCACCCTGGCCTACCACACCCTCCTACACTGTACCCATTACAACTCCAAGTTCCACTGGCAGAGGAGCAGAGCGATGCAGCAGAGGAGAGTAGAGAAGAAGCTTCTGAACATTGAGAGGAAAAGAGGCAGCTGGACATCAGAGACTATGGTCAGAGAGGAGTTCAGCCGCATTCAGCCAGCAAAAGATTATCTTCCCCCTCCATCTCTTTTCCAGCTCCTCATCCTCCTGAGAGCCACTTCCATTGCTCATTAAAATGCTCTGCATACAACCACCTTTCAATCCATTTGTGTGACCTGATTCTTCCTGGATGCTAGACAAGAATTCAGAAAGCACTGGGTGTGAGACCCAAAAAGGCTGTCATGCTGACTCTTCACTGAGCTGCTTAACATATAAGCCATTTGCAGACCGCAAAACTAAAAGAGCATTGTTTGTAACATACACCCTCAGGGGCTCCAGAGGTCACTAGCAACCCCTCAGGCTGCGGTGGGCCTCCATGGTGTTCATTCCTATTGGTACCCAAAGGCACTTGTCCTGGCTCCTGCACCCACTCACCTGAGTGCTCCCCCTCTCACCAGGTGTTTGAGCTTCATGACCAAGTAAACTAGCTACTCCTGTCACAAATCCCATGAGGGAATCAAGGGAACTCTCCTGTCTCATTATCTTTTACTAAACTCCAGCCTTAAATAGAAGGGCAGGGACATCAGAATAAATTGCAGAGTGGATGGTAGAAACCACCTACTTTCCTTTCTCTTCATTTCCCTACAGACCTGGGCCTGTTGTTCCTATATAAAGCTATGGAAATCTATCATTTGTTTTGGAACTTGGAGGAATGAATGTACACATTCTCTCATTAAAGAGAAACAAGATGGCCTTTGGTACCTGTATTTCTGTCTTGCTTAAGTTTCAAAAGTGAGATTCTTGAGTCCAGAACATGGTTTTCAATGGTTCTCCATCTTTTCTATTAGGGGAACCCATTGTACTTTGTTATAAAATCTCACGATCCTCCATATATGTGTTTTTAAATCGCATTATTAGTCACTTCCACATCTATAGACCTTTGCAAATACATTGAAAAATACCTAAATGTATCTTTATAAAAGACAGTACTGTTTGAGGAAATCTTTGGATTTAGCTTTACTCACCTCTGGTATTAACTCTGCTGTTTCCTAAGAGCTTTGGAGCCCATATACTGTTAACCACTGCAGTCCTTGAGCGAAGTTGGCTGCTGGAAGTCATTTACTCTTAAGTGCAGTAATATTAACTGAATGGGTCTTTTGCTATTGTCTGGGATTGGTTTATTAGCATCCTTCTATTTCCTTGGTGTTAAAAACAGAGCTTAGATTATAAAATAAACCCAGATGAAAACACACCTGTGATGGATAAGCATGCCTCCAAACCACAGAAATAACTATCATCTTTGTATCATTAGCTTGCAGGGAAGGAGAAATAGAGTCAACATTCTGAGAAATAAGGCAAAAAATAGGTTATGCACGGTAGTAAAGTTCTCCTTGTTTTTTCTTCTATGGAATGCTCCAAAGCTTATGTTTGAATGATAGATTTGACACAAACAGTAGAATCTATAAAATCTAATGGAAAGGGTAGGTAGTGGTTAAGAGAAGAGGGTTTGAAGTCACATTTGGACTCAAATATTTCAATACTTACCAGCTATATGAACATGGGCAGGTAACTCAAACTCTCTCCAAGTCTTGGTTTTATCATCCCTAAAGGAGCAATAATATTTATGCCTGTAAGTTAGTGATTATTAAATAATAAAATTATGTAAAGGCTTAACACAATTGATGGTGCACAGTAGCACTCAAAATTTGCAGTAACACTTGTAAGTACCTTGCGGCAGGCTACGGGAAAGAGATTTAGGGGAATACTATTTAGAGTTTAATTGCTTTGGGGCATTACTCCTCAAAATTGGTGGGCTTCACCCATACTGTGTATATTCCCTGTGAGGGCCGGATCTAAGAACTCACATGTACTTTCTGCAACATGGGGACAAACAGGAGCATCCCAGGGCTACGATTAATCTGGAAAATATCACAGTAACTGAAGGAGAAGAGAGAACTGTGGAGGATGGTGGAGACACTGGGAGAAACATGGGAGAAAAAGAACATAAACAAACAAGAGAAAGTAAAAGAAGGGGTATGATCCAGAAACAAATATTGGCATACAACTGCAGGACATTGGGTGGGCTGAGTAAGTATTTCAAATCCTTGGGGCAGGAAGTGAAGTTGAAAAAGCCCATAAGCCTAAGAATCTGCAAGTGAGTTAATATCAGTGACATCTCTAGTATTAGCAATGTCATTGGAAGCTGGGGCAGAGATTTTTTTTCTTCTTTTTGTCTTTTATGTAGATATGCCTTATATTTAGGCCTCTAGTTATTACAGAGTTTTTTTTTTACCCACCTCCCCCAGAGTTTTGGTATTACCACTTAATAAATACAATACCATTACCAATAGTAATAATATTGATAACTAATATCAATTAGGTTCTTGCTATATGCCAGGCTTACAAACATGTAAATCTTTATGATGCCTCTGTGAAGCAGGTAATATTGTATTCTCACCATTTTATAGATGAGAAGACTATGGCTTAAAGGTATTATGTAACTCGTCTGAGGTAATACAGATAGTAAATGGCAGAGCTCAGACAAACTCAGAGATTTTGCACTCAAGAGCTATTAAACAGGATTGCTATGTATAGCTGCACAAGTTGTGCACTGTACAATTCTTAGGCTTGGTTTCATTCAGACTATGATGTGAATGTGGCAACCTTAGTGCTGGGTAATGTAGAGGCCCCAGTTCTTAATCTTTACTCTGTAATTCAAATTTAATGCCCCCAACTTTTCTTCCTTTAAATGAACAAGTAGAACCTTATGTCTTTATATCTTCAATCCAAAGAGGGCTCTTCAGCCTCTAATGTTTTTTATGTGTATTTCACAAAAACAGTAACTCATATCTATAAACATGTTTCTGAGGTAGGCAGTAGCTAAACAAGATGGTCACCATCATAGATGCCATTTAAGATAAATCAATGTTAATCAAATGTCTTTGAATAATGTCTAGACTCTGCTAGTCTAAACCAGTCTCTTCTAAGTTTGGAATTGTATATTAACTTAGAGAGGGAAGAAAATATCTTTTTTAACCAATCCTTAACATTGAGGATCCAAAAGACCATATTACCTTTGTCTAAATGGTTTTGATCTGTTAAAACTAATAGTATTCATTGTTCACTATCTATCCAGGTAAATGAAAATTTGGTTTAGAGTAAAACAGTATCTATCTTTCCAAATCCTAGGGGAAGGAGGGCTTGTTGCACATGGAAGCCAAGTGTCAGATCCCAGGAATCTGGCTGAAGTTCAGAAGGGTTCAGCAAGAAAATATTTGTTACACAGTCTAAAAAAAAAAAAGAGCCTGGTATGGATGTTAGAGGCAACAGTGATCAATTCACTGTCTAGTAAATTGATCAGGAGAATAGGAGCACCAGCCATTTTCCTACAAGACCAGTAGAATCTAGAAGAGACTCAGCTTCTTGACTGGCCATCTCCATTCTTCTAGTGCCATTATTATCATTGGAATTATAGTTAGTATTTGATATGAACACAATCACTTGCAGGAACAACCAAAACTATTATTGAATTATTCAACTTGGATAGCAGTAAGCTTTCTACCTGCTACTTTTCTGCATTTTCTTCTGTAACAACTTCTATCCTCTTTTCCTGTATTTGCTTTGTCCCCTTTCCTCTTAGGGCTCACATGTCCTTTCTTTACACATGTGTGTCATCTGCTTCTCAAGCTCCACAGTATTTCTTTTCTCCAGAAATTCTAGAGAGTATTATTTTCCCATTAGAGCAGAGCACCAGGACACTGAGAACAGTTTAATATTCCAAGATTCCATAAACAGTCTGAGTGATTGCTCAGATTTAAACGACCTCACACATAATTTTAGCAAATGGAGATGCATTAAATGGCTCCAACAGGTGTATGATTAAAAAAAGAATGTCAAATTTTTGTGGAAATTAATACTGGAATATAGGTTCTACTATTACTGCTTAGCAGCAAATGGTTCAAGTAGTATAATAATATAGCAGACTTATGGAGCCAATTAATCCATTAGAGGAAAATTCCATTTATTAAAAAAAATAAAGTGAGTTTTAGCTTAAAGGGGAACTGCAGACAACAATTCTAAGTGGAATTCATCTTTGCAAGTTACATACTATTTTGTAGATAATTTAAAATCCAGTTATGGAAGGCAAAGAAGGGCACTGAGAAAACATAATTGCTATTCTTAATAAAATATGCTTTTTGAGGTACACTAAAACTTTATGTCAATGATGCTAATTATTTTGGCATCTTATTGGCAGTCACAATTGGACAAAAAGTGGAAGTATGTAAGTGCAAAGCAAGTTCCTGGCTTCGTTTCTTCATCCTTATGTACTTCAGGGTTTTATTTATGGCTAAACTGAAGCTGGATGTCAAATCTGGGCCCCTCAGAACAAAATCTTAATAATTAACTGGCAAAATTGAACATGATCGCTTCTGACACACCTACACTGGTAATTATTGCTTTGAGGCCATTTACTAATGAAATTAATGTATTCATTGCCCTAACAAATTAGCATAACTCATACATAATGCCCCACATTTCAAGACCTCGCTAGAAAAACAACACTTAATACAGCAGAATGAAATGGCAAGGGCATTACATGGCGACAGTATTCACTGAATTACTACATGTTAAAAACCACAATAGCTAAGTGTGTGTTACAATGCAAAATGTAAACACAATGTGGGTATTAAAGCCATTAATAGTGTAGTCAAGAGTGTACAATTGATGATTATCTTTGCACTTCAAATAAGCAGATATTATAATAGCAGTAACCATGGAATCTAATTAAATGTCTACTTTTAGAGCTACAAAGTATGAAAAGAATGCTCCCAAGACAGCCTCTTCTTCCCTACCACATAAAGAATCTTGTGCAGCTGTTGTCACTTGTCTACATTTCTTATTAAATTAACTCAATGGCACACTCATTAAATACTGTCCCCTACCCTAGCAGCAAGAGGGTTAAATAAAAAAGAGAGTAAACACTTCTAGTTTCAACGTGTTAGCTTTAAAGGGGACAAACGTGAAACTATCCTTATCTAAGTTTAATAACTTAATCACCTCCTTAATGTATAAGGAGGTGACTTTGCTTTTATTCTCTGTGTACTTTTCACTTTAAATGACCAAGAATAACTCTAAGTCAAGTGAGGTAGTAAGAAGATAAAGCAAAAAAAGAAGACTCTAAACTCTATTATATATTTTTTATAAACTGTAACCTAAAGTCATCTTCCCAAGCATACATGTTTAGAAAAAAGGTGGTGGTGGATGTTTTTAATATCCTTGCCCTATGCCCACGTTAACAGAATTATGCCCTAAAGTAACCATATACTCAATTGTGATTGTCCTTAACACCAGTGTGTCATGCACACACACACAGGGCAGTCAGCAATTACCGGATAGCTGAGGTTTGGATTTGACTTACGCTTGATGAAACATGTATTACGAAAAGAATTGCGTTTACAGCGTCCTCCAATTCACAAATGCTGGCCTCTATTTAGTACTAACAAATATATATTTCATCAAAATTCAAGGCATAATGACTGAGAGAATTCATACGATTGATTCAAATTGGAAGCTTAAATCTTTATGGGTGGAAGTAAGCTTGGCCATCATCTAATCCAGCTTTGTCACTTTGTCAATTGGAAAGTTAACATTTTGAGATTTTAAGCAACTTGTCTAAGGTATCATAATAGGTTTAGTCAGTTAAAGTCTCTGGCTTTTCTGATCTTAATTACAGAGTTCCTTTCATTACACTGCAGAGAGAGTGAATGGATGAGCACTCAGAAAAGAAACTGTAAGTGTCCCCTTACTTTGTTAATGGGAAAAATAACTGACAAGTGTATCTTAGAACCGAGGACTTCTGCAGTTTCATTAAAGCCTCCTAAAATACGTTTTAAATAAGGCTAAGCCTGAAATGCTATAAACCCTGAAATGTATGCAAGCACTTCAGCCATAAGGAACCCTTTGAAATCCAGACTCCAACCCTGACTTCTGTGTCTCTCCATATCATTCTAAGGAGGGTTAAATAACTTCCTTCATCAAATAGACACAGAGTGTTGATGTGACAGCAAAAGAATTGGGAAAAGGGAAAATCCCATTTAGTTATTTAGTAACTGTGTCTATCACAATGGAAAAGATGAATAGCAATTAAATTGACTTAAATCACATACACATATTCACATATATGCAGTATACATCTATATCTATATTTATATGTGTTTCTGCAAGCAGAGACCACGCCTGAAGGTTGCTCACAAACAGATTCTTGTGAAAATCAAATCAAACAGAAATAGAATGAAGACTACATGGTGAGAGTATTACATTTCTGTTAGATACACTACACGATTGCCATTTAGTCAACGGACTGGTTTCTATTTAATTTCCACACAAGAGATGTTGTGCTTTTATAATTGCCACAGCTCTCTTTGATTATGGCTGTGATTTCGTATTGTGTGTCTATCCCTATTTCCTTCACCCTTAACTCCGCCCTCCCTCCCCCTCCCCTCCTCCCCTCTCTCTCCCACCCTCCCTCCCTCCCTCCCTCCCTCCCTCCCTTCCTTCCTCTTCCTCTGTTGCTTCCTTTTTCATTTCTTTCTTTGAAGTTATT